ATTAATATAAAGTAAAAATTTTAACTTTGGTTAAAATGTCCCAGAACCTCATTTTCCTAGCTCACAACCCATATGTTTAAAGTACAAAATAATAAATGTAATTATTGTTTAGAATTCTATAAAAAGAATATTGTTTTAAGTTAAATTTTATAAAAAAAGATAATAATGTTAATAATAGATTATTAAATAATAAAAATAAGGAAGAAAAAAAATAATAGATAAAAATAGTAAGTATTATAATTCAAAAATTGCAATTTAAAATTATTATTATCAATTACATTTTCTACATTTTCTTAAAAAATTTAACTAAGATTACAACTAGTATAAAATTACAACTGCAATATTAATAAAATCAATATTAAAAATAGATACTAATTATAATATAAATTATTTAATAATAATTAAATACTTGTTAACCTTTATTATTTCTTAAACTGTATAATAGGCAAATTTACTTGCAAAATTAAAAAAAAGTTTTAATTTTTTATAAAATATTAAGTAATATTATTATTATATAAAAAATATAGTTTAATATATATTTTATCAACAAAGATTTTAAGTTTTAAAATTTTTATTATAATAATTTTTTAAAATTTATATGTTTGTATATTAATCAAATCATTTATCATTAATTAAAATTATAAAATTTTTTAATAATTTATAAAAATTATAATAATAAATGTTTTTATTTATAATTAATTTTATTAATATTTTATTATAATTAACATAGTTAAAAGTAAATTCTAAAAAGGTTATCATAGATTAATCATGAAATTTTTTAATATAAATTTTTTAAAAATAATAAATTTTTAGCTTCTAAATAACATTAAATTTTTATTTTATAATTAAAAAATAAAATTTACTATAATATATATTTATAAAATTAATTTAAAAAAATTTTTTTAAATATTAATTATTTATAAAAGTAAATCAGAAGAGAATTTATAGTAAATATGCTAAAATTCACCTGTGAAATTTTATAATTTAAGAAATAGTTAAAAATTTTTATAGATATTTACTATTTGAAGATTTATGTTAATATAATTATACAATTATAGAAATCATTTATAATTTTATAATTATTAATTCAATTATAATAAAATTTTATATTCAAATATTTTTAAATTTTTTAAATAACTTTACTTAAGACATTTAAAATTGACTTTATTTAAACAAAATACTTAAATTACTTTTTTGAAATTAAATAATATAATTATGAAAATGTTTATAACTTTATAACTAAAAATGGGAACTGTAATTAATATGTTGCAACTTTTAATGTTGCAACTTACGTTGCAATTAGTTTTAACTTATATATGTTGCAACTAATTTTAGCTTATGTTGCAACATTTTGTAAATTTGAAATCAATTGCTGTACCATCTTTATTTATAACAATTAATTCAATTATAATAAAAATTTATATTTAAATTTTTTCAAACTTGCTAAACAATTTTACTTAAATATCTAAAATTAATTTCTTTTAACCAAAAAATTTAAAATATTTCTTTGAAGTAATTAAACAAATAAAAAAAATAAAAATAATTTATTTAATATAATTGCAAAAAAATGATTATTTAACTTAATAAAATATGAAAAAAAGTATGATTAAGATATTTTAAAAACAAATTTTTTTTAATTTATTTTTTTATTTTATTTTATTTGATTTGATTGGTTGACTTGAATTTTATCAGATCATATTATAAGTTTAATCTAACTTAATATTAACTTAAATTATCTACCTAATCTGAATTTTTCTAAAAGTTTTATTCTAATTAATGATAAAACAAAATTATTCTAAATAGAAAAAAATTTATTAATATTAATAATAATAATTTTTTTATTTTTATTTTTTTTAGTTATTTTAAATAATATTATATATATTAAAATTATTATAACCCTTTTTGATTTTATTTTAGAATATTTTGATATTTATTTTACTGTACTTTATTTTTTATTTAACAATCCAATTATATTTTTTAGGTTATTTCAATAAATAACTAGTTATTCAAATCATATAAACCTTAGAATTAAAAACAAATATAATTATTTGCATAAAGAACCTTTTAATAGTAAAGATATGAATTTTAACTCTTTATCTATTAATGTTGAATTTTTATTAAAAATTAAAAAAAAAATAAACATGATTTCAGAAATTATAATCTTAATTTCCTTTCAGTTATTAAAATAGTCCTTTGGTTTTCGTTCTTAATTAAAGATTAATACTTTCGTATGTATGAGAATTATTAATTATTATAATTTGTTAGCTAATAAATAATTAATCAGTTTCTGAATATTTTCGATAACCAAGCCTGTGAAATGTTAAAATTATAACAATTAGATTATATAGAAATGTTATTTTAAATGAAATAAAACAAAGATTTAACAATTTACCATTGAAATCCATAAAATAAAGATAAACCAACAGTACTAAAACCCAATTTAATTCTATCAATAGTAGGTTTTTTATATACCCAACCAACCAAGACACCAGCTAAAGCGATATCAACAGCTACGGCAAGAAATACAACAGGTTTTGACAATTTAGAAACTTCATTGTCACCTCTTGTTGATCTTTTACGTGGGTTCCCATCATCAATTTGCGTCTGTTTTGCTAAGTTAATTACTTCTTTTCGAGCATTGATAAAGTCTTTATCGAATTTAGTTGCATCACGATTTTCCGAGTAATTATCTTCGGTGGTTTGTTCTTGATGGTATTTCCTTGGTACATCATTTTTGATTACAATATTGGCTTCTAAATTTTCTGAAGGATCACTCCTAGCAACTTCAGCATAAGACATTTTGATTTATTTTTAAAAAAAAAAATTTTTTTTTTTAAATTCGAATTCGAAAAATTCGTGAAAATATATATATATATATATATATATTATTAAGCCACTGAAAATCAGTTATGTATCATCGTGACTTCATTTATTTCGGAATAGTTGCCAAATTATTTCGTAATTATGATAATTCGCACGTGAGATCGGCAATTAATAATATCACCATTAAAATTTTTTAATTATTTTTCGAAATCCTTATCGATCTTAAAAGTATATTACCAATACAAAATTATTTTATTTTATTTTATTTTTTTTTTTTTACAACTCGAAAAATCTTATGGAATCAGCAATAACCCGATTACTTTCTCTCTTAAAATCATCATCAAAATCAAAAACTTCAAAATCATCCTTAAAATCCAAATCATCATTAAAATCCAAATCTTCAACTTTAAAATTATCTTTACCATCATCATCATCCATCCAACGACTAATTATATCAAATCTATCACCAACATATCTTGAAAATTCATCAAAACCGTCACAACATTTATCTCAACCTAAACAAAAGTTAATAATACTAGATATCAATGGCACATTAATATATCGAGATAAAAATTTTGGATCGAAATATAATCCGGTCGGTAAAATTCATTTACGTCCAAACCTAAATGATTTTTTAGACTTTTTATTTTCTAATGAAGATTATTTTAAAATAATGATTTGGTCTACTGCTAGACCTATGACGGTTTATTATTTAGTAGACAAAGTTTTTGACCATCATAAAACCAAATTATTAGATATTTGGACTAGAGATAAATTAGAATTACCTAAAGTTGAATATTTTGATAAATCTCGTAATATTGTGAAAAATTTAGATAAAATTTGGCAATCCGAGGAAACATGGAATCAAATGAATACTATTTTAATTGACGATTCTATACTTAAAGCTAGATTACAACCTTTCAATGCTATACATCCAATTTCATTTAGGAAAAAATTTCAACGTGAAAATGATGACGAATTATTAAAGGTTATGGATTATCTTAATAAATTAAAATATCAAAGTAATGTAAGTTTTTTTATTAGACATAGCCCTTTTAATATTTATTAAAAGTAATAAAAAATTTGTATCCTACCTAAACTAAAACTAATATTTTATTATTATAAATAATTTATCTAATAATGTTAATTAATTTAGTACAATGTTCACTTCTATATAAATACAGACTCTTAAAAATTACAATTATTCAATATATTCCCAAAGACCACAATCTTCGCATTCATCATCATTTTTACAATCAGGAAATAATTTGAAGAGATTCCACCAAACTTTCAAGATATTATCAATAATTTCCTGAATACGATGTCTTTTAATATTAACACTCCATTTTAATTTCGATACAGTATCAAAAGTACATGCAATTCCAGCATGACACTTTGTTTCCATCTATAAAAGGAAAGTCGTAAGCTAGTGAATAATGAAAAAAAAAGTCCGGAACCAAAAGTGAGTGCACTTACAGCATATCCACCAATATAGCATGAACTCGAAAACCCCTAAGAACGTCAAAATCTCTATTAAGAGAAATTCTCAATTGAAAATTGGTTATAAAAGTTAATTAACTTACATTACATGATCCCATATAAATAGGATCAGCCGTGTGGCCAAAATGGTAAATATTCATTTTATCCCATGGTATTGCGGGTGGATGAGGTAAATGTAATAAACTTGCTGCCTTTCTTTCGCCAGGTGATTCAAATGCTACCACAGGTAAATTATATGTTAGTCCCATTAAAGAAGAAAGTGCTCCACCAAGTGAATGACCTGTTAGCCATATATGTGAATTGGGATATTCATGGTAAATGCTATTAACAAGGTTCTAAAAAACAAAATTTTAAAATAAATCAATAAATATGTATATATCAGAAAGATATCATCGATAAAATATATTTTGTATTTACCAGGGTAATGCCATAATATAGGCTTTCTCCGTCCACGCTGTCTTGTAAACAAGTTTTGTCACAGCTGTAACCGCCTTTATAACAATCACAAACTGGAGTCCACGTACGATCTACTTTAGCACAACAACAAGAAAACAAAAGATTATCCTGTATATATGATTAATTTTGATTAGTAAATCGCATAAGAAAATTAATAACAGTTTAAGATAATAACTTACATTTTCTTTGTCTCTTGGTACAGTTGGGCCAGCACCAAATCCCATGCTGGTTCCTTTAATCGAAATGATTAATGTCTTATTGTCTGATGAGGCAAAAACATAACCTCGGATACCATCCTCTTCCCATCCAAACGTATTATTCTATGTTAAATGATGCAATGAATTTTCAAATAAACATATTGATTTATATATAGGGTGTTTTAAACTTTCATCGATTATATTTGCAAATGAGGTAGGAATAAAGGAAAAATAAAAACTAACACACCGTGCTATATTCCTCACCAAGATCATACCAATCTTCTTGGCCCATCTCGATATAAGCATTATATGTCATCTTAGCTAGATTGATGAGAGTGCCCCAATTCTTTATAGCAGGTAACCATTTTCCTATATCTCTCCAATCCAGCTTAGATGACTTGAGTTCATTCATTGATATATTTCTAAACTCTTCTACGGCATTATCTTTCTCATATTTAAAACCGGTGCCATTTACACCCATGACATCATAAGCGAAAGACGTGCCGGAAGCTAGTTCCTGAGTACGAAGGTTTTCTTCAGTTACGTCCAAACGACGAAATAAATTAGGATACTTTGAAGAGCCATGGTGGAATATATGTTTCAAAGAGACAGTTGTTATTTCCCCGTTATCTAACGCATTAACATGCTTCAAGATATTTGGATCAGTTGCTTCTACAATACAGGGCAAAATTAAGAAATAAAATAATAAAAAACATGAATAATAAACAAGACTTTTAAAAGTCTTCATGTGGATTTTATTTCAACTTTTTTTTAGTAAAAAAAGAAAAAGTTACAATTTGAAATTTAAAAATTTAAAGCGTGGAAAAAAAGGATGTTGAAAGGTGATTTCTAGCAATTTCCTACACATTTATGTTGTTTACGTGATTACGTAACTCAAAAAACTGTTTTTTATGATAATAACCAAACTTGGAATAAAGCATATATTATACAATCAAAAATTCTTATTGATCAGAATTGTTTTTTCGATTACAAAAATTTATAAAATTCTATTATATATACTTCAAATCGGTTCATCACTTGTTTTTGAGTTTAGGTTTAATGTAAACCTAAATAAAATCACGAAAATACGGCTATAGTCCTTCGCTAAGTTCCGGACTAAATCAGTTGGTCTCGTGATTTCTGCATGTCATGCACGTTTAGGATCATCGAAAATTTTTTTTTTTAAAAAATGTGGTTACGCAGAAAAATCGGTCACATGGTATTAACTCGTTTCGCGTTAATATCTAGAACTTTAGTTGTAACCAAATCTTTGAGACTAGAAAATTATAAAGCTGTGTCATTTCATATCACACCGTATCCTGCTTTTAAAATGCCGAAGCAAGCTAAAGTCAGGTAAGATTTATTTATTTTATTTATTTATTTAATACTTTTCTATTATTTAACGTGTCGCGTCTTGCTTCCTATTAAAGTACTTTTTTCAAACGAGAGCTAAACGAATCTGGTCCTCCCAAAAATGGAAAAAAAGAAACAAAGAAGAAACGTATTATTGTTGCTTCCGATGAGGAATCAGATAATGGAATTGATATTAAAAAGATCAAGCTTGATAATGAAAATGACGAAAATAGTATGGAGTTTGAAATTGAAGAAAAGGACAAGAAAGCCATTAAGGCCTCGGTCAAAAAATTGTATGATTTATCTTTTTTATATTATTATATACTTTGCAATCTTCGTAATCAAGTTTACACGTAAAATTATGTGTTCAGAGTTGACCAAAAGAACATGAAGGATATTGTTGCTGATTGGAAAAAAGGTGAACCGTAAGTATACAAATGTTCATTATAAATTTTTTACCCTAAAATATTTATCATCATGTTATATATATATTATTTATTATAGTATTCCATACGCAACGTTATGTAAAACTTTTGAAGCTATCGATTCAACCACTAAACGCCTAGAAATTCAAGAATATTTAACTTCGTTTTTCAAGCATGTAATCGAACTAAGTCCAGAGAATTTATTAGAAACCTTATACCTCTGTTTAAATAAGGTGGAATTTCATAGTCAATTATATTAATTGTTTTTGTAGATACAGATGATACTTTTTTTTATAGATTATTTAATTATGAATTTCTCATCCCAGGTTTGTCCTGAGTATGAAAACGTGGAGTTAGGAATTGGAGAATCTTTATTGATAAAGGCAATTGCTGGAGTAACTGGAAGAACACCACAAAAGGTCAAAGATGAACTAGCAAAAGTAGGGGATTTGGGAAAAGTCGCCAAAGTAAGTCTGGGAAACTATTTCATAGTGATTTGTTAAAGTAGTGTTTAATACTTTATAATTATTATACGTTTTTAGGATAGCAAAAACAGTCAGAAAAGTATATCTAGTATGTTTGGTAGCATTGATAAACCTTTAACGATCCCCGGAGTCTTTAGTTCAATGAAAAAGATTGCCTCTATATCTGGACAAAGTGTAATATCCATTATCCTCAGTTTTTTATAATTAAATAGATCTATTATGATTATTGAAAATATTTTTATGGTTCCTTTTTTTCAAGTCACAAGATTCAAAAGTAAAAGAAATCCAAAACTTGCTTAAATCTTGCCGAGGTGATGAGGCAAAATTTTTAATCAGGTGAGTTGATTCATAAAATTTACGTGAATATTGTGCGTCTGAACTAACAAAATTATTACGTTTGAAATAGATCTCTCGAAGGAAAACTTCGCATTGGATTAGCCGAGCAAACTGTTTTGATTTGTTTGGCACAGGCGTTTGTTATAACCGATAAGGGTTAGTAATAATAATTATGTTATAAATTAAAACGAGATAATTTAATTTTTTAAATAATTATTTTTAGGATACCAAAAATTAACGAAAGCCAAAAAGGCTGAGGAATTAACAGAAGCACCCAACATTATCAAATCCGTGTATAGGTTTGTCTATTTTAATGGTTTTGTTATCAAGTTTATATTTCTCAAGTAAAGACTAATGTTTGGTATCGCGCTTAAGTGAACTTCCATCATATGATAAGATTGTTCCCGCTTTATTGCAAAGTGGTGTTAGAAATCTAAGGGAACATTGTAAATTGACTCCCGGTAAGAAGAAAGTTCTTTAATATAAATAATTAAGATTCATAACAAATAATGATATATTTATATGTATCGATTTACTTTAAGGTATTCCACTTAAACCTATGTTGGCTCATCCGACAAAAAGTATTACCGAAGTTCTTAATAGGGTGGAGGGACACAAATTTACTTGCGAATTCAAATATGATGGTGAACGTGGACAAGTATGTGACTATGTAAATAAATGTTTAAAGAATCGAGACGTTCATTTAAAGAGCATTTTTATTGGTTATTGTTTAGATTCATAAACTTGAAGATGGGAACATTAAGATTTATAGCCGCAATTTAGAGGACAATACTTTCAAATATCCTGATGTAATTGAGAGAATATCCAAGGTGAGTTGTCAAGAATATGATTATATAGGGACATAACTTTAAAATTTTTCTATAATTTTTAATAGGCTACAAACCCTAATACCAATTCGTTTGTACTTGATTGTGAAGTTGTAGCATGGGATTTAGAAAAGCATAGTCTTCTTCCTTTTCAAGTTTTGAGTACACGTAAAAGGAAAGATGTCATAGAATCCGAAATCAAAGTCACAGTATGTCTATTTGCATTTGATTTGCTGTATCTGAATGGAGAGGTTAGTAAACCATACAATTATAATTTAAAAAATCATGTGAATATAACACGTAGTAATAACCGTCTTGTCTATCTATATATAGTCGCTTCTTAAGAAATCTCTTATGGAAAGGCGCGAACTTTTGCAAGACTCGTTTCAAAAAGTTGATGACGAGTTTTCCTTTGCGCAACATATGAATGTTTCAAATACTGAGGAAATACAGGCTTTTCTAGAAGAAAGTGTTAAAGTGAATTGTGAAGGCCTGATGGTGAAAATACTTGATGGTACGGAGTCAACCTATGAACCTTCGAAAAGGTCGAGGAATTGGTTGAAGGTAAACTCATTCTCTCTCCTGTTATCTTAGAAATGTGTATCACTATCCATTTTCTTTAAGTAAACTTGTTGATTTTTGTAATCATATTTAGTTAAAAAAAGACTATCTCAGCGGGGTAGGAGATTCCTTAGACTTGGTTGTAATAGGTGCATTTTACGGGCGTGGAAAGCGTACAAATGTTTATGGTGCATTTCTTCTCGCTTGTTATGATCCAGAAAATGATGAATACCAGACGATCTGTAAGATTGGTACCGGATTTTCCGATTCTGATCTAGAGACACATTTTAAGTACCTAAAAGAGAAAGAAATGTCTGAACCTAAAAGTTATTTTAATTATGATAAGACGACCAAACCTGATGTTTGGTTTGAACCTTGTCAAGTTTGGGAAGTCAAGACGGCAGATCTTAGCATATCTCCAGTCTATAAGGCGGCTATGGGACAGGTATGATTAGATTTTAGAAATTCATTTCATTAGAACATATGTTTGAACATCTTTTTTTATTTTTTTTTTTTGTAGGTTGATTCATCTAAGGGTGTGTCTTTACGGTTTCCTCGCTTCATTCGAATACGTGATGATAAAAAACCAGAAGACGCAACTACCAGTGAAGGGGTAATATTACGAATCGCGATTATTTAACAATCAAAAACACTTTTTTTTTTTGATATTAACATATCGTTTCATTATGTTTATTAGATTGCTGAAATGTATCGAAGACAGTTTAATAACATTAACGATAACGATATTGAGTAGAATTAAATCAGTTTAGATTGTATAGAAACATAATGCTATAATGGCTAATTGGCAGTTTCTTATAGATAATGCAAACAAGGAGTTAAAAGATTTATAATTATAGATTTTGATAAATAAATAATATAATGAAAATCACAATTCACATAGTGATAATCCGACATTTTATTCTTTATTGATTATATTATCATTATTATTAACTTGCAAAATAAATAAACATGTAATAAAATATCGCTCCGAAACTTTTTATGTATACATTGTTAGCTTTAAAAGGATTCTCTCATCTAAAGATGGTTCATCTAACGTTCCTTTAAAAAACTTTTCTTCATCTTTACCGAGATTTAAATCATCTTTTTTCGATTTTCTTGTATTTCCAAAAGCTATTTTCACCGCATCTTCGGCAGCTGTTTCAAATTCTTTATAAGAATTAAAAGCATAATAGAGCCTTAAAGGAATATTTTTCCAACCAATTCTATTATAAAATTGAACATAACCTATTGAATCTAATTCTGGTACAGAAAATTCATCTTCGTTAATGATGAATTCAATTGGTTTTTCTGATTTGTTATCATTGTCATCATTTTGCTTAATATTTTCTTGTGAGACTTGTTCATCCTTTGATGAATCTTGTGAAGCATTTGAATCAGGTTTCGATTGCTCAGGAGAAGGATCTTCTAAAGAAGCAATGCAACCATCGTTTAATCCTTGTAAATATTCAACAAAACTTACTCTACCTACTATTATAGTACCACTACCAATTGGTTTTGAAGATGTTATGTTTTTAAAAGGTTGGTCAGAATCTGATAATTGGTTTGATAAAGGTGATTGTTGCTGCGATGATGATAATTCTTTTTTGCGTTTTTCTCTTATTGCTTCTCGTACTATTGAACGAAGTTGCCCTGGCCGTGTACCTTCTACGATATCATATTCCAAAGCGGCAGCATTGAGCACGGGCTAAATTATATGGAGAAGACATATGTTTAGAGGGGTTTTTTTTTATCAATTTTAAAAAGATAATAAAGAGAAAATTTCAATATACCTTTACATACTCACGAAAGTGTATTTTGGTTTTACGTATATCATCGCCTAAGGGGGGAGCCAAATAAACAGTCACTCTTCTAGGTAAATCATGTACATTTAAAGGTTCCAAAGATAAATGAGAAACTTTTTTTTCTACACGAGATTTATATTCATCTGATAATTTATTATCTCGATAGATTAATGAAATTATACCAGCACAGGTACCGAAAAATGCTAATGCTTTTTTTGAAGGTAATTTGGGTAATTTAAATTTTGAGGCCATTTTTTCTTTTTTATTAAAAAAAAAAAAAAAAAATTTCAAATTTTATATTTTTATTATTGAAAAAAATTTTTTCGAGATAAGAGATAATCTTTTCGTAGATCCCTGTTTGGTAGATCCTTTTCGATTTGATTTATTGACTAATTACTTGTCATAAAAAAACTCGTTATTCCAACTTTTTAAAACTGCACAATCGGGCTATGCACCTCGTGTTACGTCAAAAAGTATAAATACAAACAAACAAAATTTTCTTTTCTTTTGCTTCTTTCTTTTTTTTTAAAAAAAAGAAACAGGATCGGCAATTAAAAATTTTGATACCCCAAGTATCGAGCGGAAGTAACGGATTATTAGTAGAATCAAATCGAATAATAATAAAAAATGTCAATTAATAATAAGAAAACATTTTCATTAGAATCGATAGTTCGACCAAATATATTAGCACTTAAACCATATAGATGTGCTCGAGATGATTATTCGTCAGGAATATTATTAGATGCGAATGAAAATTCATTTGGAATGATATTACCAAAAAATGAGGTTCAATTATCCTCTCATTCAAAAGGGGATAAAGAGAAGGATGATTCCGGAATAGAAAATCTTCATAGATATCCTGATCCCAATCAAGTGAATATTAAAGAAAGATTAGTAAAATTTAGAGGGTTACCTGGTATCGATTACTTTTTCTTAGGGGTGGGATCGGACGAATGCATTGATTTAATTATGAGGATATTTTGTGTGCCAGGAAAAGATAAAATATTAATTACACCACCTACTTATGGAATGTACTCGGTATGTGCTAATATCAATGATGTTGGTATTATCAAGATTAATTTAGATGTTGAAGATGGCATTTTTCAATTAAAAACTGACGAGGTGATGATCCGATGTCTTTTTATTTATTTCCTTTCTTTAAAGTTTGATTTTTTTTAATCTTTTTTTTTTCTATAAAAAAAAAAAAAAAGATTTTGAAAGCCGTAAAGGAAAATGAAGATATAAAGATTATTTTTCTATGCTCTCCAGGAAATCCGACGGGCACAGCGTTATCACATGAATCAATTAGATTAATATTAGAAGATAAGAATTATAATGGAATTGTGGTTATAGATGAAGCTTATATTGATTTTGTTGAAGAAATGAATCAAAAAGGTAGTTTGGTTAAATGGGTGACACAATATCCTAACCTTGTCATTATGCAAACTTTGAGCAAAAGTTTTGGATTAGCCGGCATTAGGTAACATCAACCCCTTTTTGAAAGTAGTTGGTCTTGATAAGTAAAATTCTTGTTTTAACATTTTTTTCCTTCCCCTTTTCATGTATGTAATAGACTTGGTATTTCAATTGCAGATCCCCGCATAATTCAATTAATGAATAACACCAAAGCACCATATAACATAAATGCGTTAACATCACACGTAGCTTGTACGGCGTTATCAACACAAAACATTTCAAACATGAAATTAATCAAACAGCAGATTCGGGAGGAGCACATGAAACTTATTTCCTCAATTCAAAAAATACCTGGAATCGGTAAAATCCTTGGAGGAAATGATGCAAATTTTATATTGGTTCAAATATTGGATGGGAATAATCAAAAAGTTAATAATGATAGAGCGTATCATATTTATAAAGAATTGGCAGAGAAAAATGATATCGTTGTTAGGTACAGAGGAAATGAAATTGGATGTGAAGGATGTTTGAGAATTACTGTTGGTACACCCAAAGAAAATGAATTATTATTAAAAAAATTAAATGAACTACTTGGGACGGTCTTTTAGAAATCATCCATTGTAAATATGTTCTAATATTTATTAAAAAAAAAAAAATAAATAAAAAAACAATTTTTTTTTTGTAAAAGTGTTTTTTTTTTTGTATAAATCAACGCATTCATATGAATGCATAAGGTTCATCGTTAGAAGTATTTTGATTACTGTTACCAGCCAAGTAACCCCCTTCACAACCACTAGATCTATTATTACCAGGTTTATTACTCATACTGGAAGCATCGGTGGTCAAATTTTCAACACTACCGAATCTATTATAATAATCAACCGAAGCGATACTATTGGTGGCGCTTAAATGAGTAAAAGAGGTTGAACCAAAATAATCATCATCTTGATGCACGCTAACAGAATGAGTTTTGGTAATAACAATGCCTGTTCCATCATTATTCTCTTTTTCACCTGTCTGCATGATTGATCCTGATGAAGAATTTGTACCAATACTTGCGTTACTATCTTTAACTAGTCCTGCTTTTATTGATGTTAAACTTCTTCCCACTGATGGGCCATCGCTCAGACTACTGATTTTTCTTTTAGGTGCGGGAATGAAATAATTCGGTGGTTTTGATCGTGAAATCTTACGTCTACGTCTAACCCATATTATCAATGATACCGCTATTATCGCTGATAATAATGAAGCGCTTGTTCCAATCGCTATCGCGATAGATTTTTTGTTTGTTGAATTTTTATCTGTTGGTGGTGGTGATTTAACATCTAGCCAGATCAAGGAAGGAAAAAAAAATTTGAGCATATTTGGAGAAGTAGGAGCAAAAAAAAAAAGAAAAAGTTTCTACTCAATTTACCTGACTCAGCGTCGGGTGGTGTTGGTACTTTGGAAGGTGCAGGTACAGGTACAGGTGCAACTACGGGATTTTCACTAGGAATGGGTGTTTCATCCGGTGGTGGGAGTGGTGGTGATTCATTATTTTTAAGACAATCTTCAGTACCTAAATAACAAGTATTTGAACAAGGACCAGCCGGTCTATTATATTCACATAAAAAGTATGAAACCGTATTTTCGTAATTACTTAAAGTTGGAGCATAACCATCTGTACAAAGACAATTTTCTAATAAATTTAATGAGAAACAAGAGTTTGCCGCTGGTACCGTTTTTCTATTTTTACATATCGCAGAACATGTTTCAATTGTGGATTTACACCATTGATCCTTTAATGCGGGATCTAATGTTGACGCTATTATCGGAATAAAAAAAAATGAAAGAGGAGGAGACATTTTAAGCTTAAATTCGATTGACAAAAAAAAAATTACAAATTGATTATTATTAATACTCACGATGTGATGGTGGTTGTTGTGCTTTGCTCTGACTACAAATTAATACGGAAATTAATAAATACGATATGATCTTTTTCATTCTAATTACTACTACTATAAATGCTCTAAAGGTAACTATTTGTGTTTTTTTCTATTAAAGTATTTTTTTATATTATGATTTTACGATATAATATAGTATATAATAAAAATCATTATCAGTAAAATGATTCGGGTCTGAATAAAGAGGGATAAAAGGTAAGGAGAAAAGGTGCGAATTTTCTTTCTATTAAATTGGTATTTTAAAAAAAGAAAATAAGGAAGTTTTAAAAGGAACAAAAAAGAATTTCCCTTCTGATATAACAAATATATATGTTATAGGGAGTATATACACATATATGTAGTGTTCCCAGGGCGCGAACCATCCGGTTGAATGATGGTTAGTACAGCTGCCGTTATGATTAGTTGACAAAAACAAATTATCATTTTTCTTTGGAAGGATTATTTCATTCTTATATGAAAATTAATCGACAAGTAAATAAATAAAAAAATTTTTTTTTCTTCAGATTATCTTTTTTTCCCTACACCCAATTAATAAACATAATGTTAATTATTTATTTCCTTTATTAGAAATTCATTTTCAAAAGTTATTTGTAACGGTAAGGGTAAGTAAGCATGTAACACGGCGCATTTGTAAACCTTATCAGAAGATCAGAATTTACATTTGACATTTTAATTATGTTGATTGAAGTTCACCCTCCCTTTTTTGTTCGTTTATTTTCGTGTTTTTATTTTTACTGTAAATAGAATTAATTGTACAGTATATATAAAACGAATTATTTTGGTCACAAATTTTTAAAATTCGTACACACAAAAAAAAATAAATATAACTCTAATGCTTACTGCACACGAGTCCTTTATGTGCGTTAATTTTTATTTGGTTTCGAAACGTTAAAAAAAGACAATTTCCCACCCTAGTTCCCAAAATTGTCCAAATTTTTTTGGGTATATAAACTGTACCTAAAAAAAAAAAATTTTTTCAAACGCGTTTTGTATTAAATAAAGTACAAAGCGTCGTATTTGTTTCACAAAGCTTTATATCACGTGTAACTTTTTTTTTCTTTTCTTCTCTTAAATAATTATGTCAATTGAAAAAATACTAATTGCAAACCGTGGAGAAATTGCGTGTAGAGTGATAAAAACATGTAACCGGTTAGGGATTTCAACAGTTGCCGTATACTCTGACAGGTATAATATATAATGTTTCGAAGTTGACCGAACTTTATAATTTATTTATTTTTTTTTAAAAAACAGTGACCGAAATGCTCTCTTCGTAAAGTTGGCGGACGAAGCTATTCACATAGGTCCTTCACCTTCGATAGACTCATATTTAAACGGGAAAAAAATCATCGAGGTAGCTAAACGCGTTGGAGCAGACGCCATTCATCCCGGTAAAATTCATAAACATATACCTTTTCAATAGGTTATTTTATTCTTTTTTTTTTTTTAACATTAATCCTTATTATTTTAGGTTATGGATTTTTATCGGAAAATGCCGAATTTGCAAAGTTAATCGCCAATGCGGGAATTCGTTTTATTGGTCCTTCGCCCGAATCCATTTTAGCTATCGGTGACAAGGTAATTCGAGGAGAAAAAAAATTTTTTTTTTGGTGGTTGTTAATAAAATTCATTGAATTAGATTGTCGCCAAAAATTTGCTTGCTGAACATCTTCCATCCGTTCCTCTTATACCCGGATATAATGGTTCGGATCAAAGTATAAACGCGTTAGTGCGTGAAGCTCTTAGAATTGGTAAAAACATTAAATATGAATATATGAATTAAATGTACTATTACACTATAAATTCGAGTCCCACATGATTAATTTCAATAATTCTCGCGCGTAGGATTCCCAGTATTATTAAAAGCTTCGGCTGGTGGAGGAGGCAAGGGTATGCGCGTAATTCGAGAATTAGAGTAGGTTGTGTATGTTTAACAACAATTCCCCTTATCGTACTTTTTTTTTAAAATTATACTAAAAAAAATTTTATTTTCCTTGATTATAGTATATCTAGATTACGTGATGAAATAGAACTTGCAAAATCGGAATCACTTAGAGCATTCGGTTCGGATCAATTATTAATAGAAAAATATTTTGATTCAATACGACATGTTGAAATACAATTAATGGGAGATAATTATGGTAATGTTTATCATTGCTTTGAAAGGGATTGTTCAATACAACGTCGTCATCAAAAAGTCATTGAGGTACGTAGAGATTTTTTCTATGCTGATTAATGGTAAGTATTTTAAAGCGTCGGTTCTTTTAAATTTGTAGGAAACACCTTCCCCCCACTTGAATTCGACTCTAAGAGAGAAAATGATTGCTGTATCTATACAAATTGGTAAATTTCTTAAGTATCAGGGAGCCGGTACAATTGAATTTATTGTGGTAAGTGTGGTGTCTTAATAAACCGTTGGATTATTAAAATCCGATTGAACTTTGAATTTAATGAAAAGAATTCACTTTTTCCCCTAATTAAAGGATGAAAGTGACAACAAATTTTATTTTCTTGAGATGAATACACGTTTACAGGTTGAACATCCTATTACGGAATTGGCGACAGGATTGGATTTAGTCGAATTGCAAATATTAGTAGCACAGGGTATACATTTATATGCTTTAATTCGTTTATTTGATTTGATTTGAGTTTTTTGATCGTTCAGCAAAGATCTCTTATTTTCCCTTAGGGTACGACTTATCACAATCGAAATTACCTACCTTGAAATTAAATGTAAGATGATAAGATTATTCATGTATCATACAACAGACTCATGATATTTAATTTAATATATCGGATTTAACTTTTAGGGACATGCAATTGAATGTAGACTTTATTCAGAAGATCCAAACAACAATTTTCTTCCAAGCACAGGTAAAATACTATATTGGAAACAATTGTTGGTATCAAGTATTCGTTACGATACTGGCGTGGAAACAGGTATCTTTTTTTTCTTTTCTTCTTTTTTTAAAAATATATATATATATATGTATTTAGTTATACTCTTGTTCTTTTATAACATAGGATCCGAAATAACAATCTATTATGATCCATTAATATCAAAAATATCAGTATGGTCACCAACGAGACTCCAATCTATTCAAATAATGTCATTTGCGTTACAGAATACAATTGTGTTGGGTTTAATAACAAATCAATCATTTATATTAAGTATAATTAAAAGCCCTTCTTTTATCAATGGTTTTTATAATACGTTGTTCATAGAAAAACATGGCTTATTTGTTCAGCAAGGGGACCTTTCTTTGAAAATTCACTTAAAAGAGAGAGAATTAATCATTGTACCATTTTTATGGTTATGGTATCAAAGAGAGAGAAATCGTACTACGTTACGACATGTCCCATCAGGATGGCGTTATTTGAAAAGTAAAAATCCGATAGATGCGTATTACATAAACCATCATAATGAAAATACTTTATTGGAATTGGAATATGAATATCATAGAAATATCGATGGATCTTTTATTGATGATACGGATCATAAATTTAGTATTTGGATTAAATCAGGCGAAGGAAAAAGAAAAAATGTAATCTTACATGGAATCTTGATGAATGAAAGTGATGGTGGGTATTTCAGGGTAGAATTAAGTTAATGATGCATAGTAATCAAACAAAAATTCTCTCCCTTTTAGATAATACTTATGGATCCTTGCGTTGTTCGATTGATGGTATTCAACGCGTATATGAAATTGCAAATGGACCGAAAAATGCCCATATACAAGAAGTTTACGTTCATTGTCAAGAATTAGGTAAACAAGTTAAATATATAAGGAGGAAAAAACTTGAAACAGTAGCTGAATCAACGGAAGATGATGGTAAATAAGTTTGAAATTTTTATTCAACTGATTATTGTTCATTATGCTAATACAAATTATCCTTTTAAATTCAAAGTTTCCCCGTATATAGCACCAATGCCATGTAAAATATTAAAATTATTGGTGGAACCAAATTCAAAAGTTAAAAAAAATGATGCATTATTAACAATAGAATCGATGAAAACCGAAGTTAGATTATATTCTAGGCATGAAGGTGTTGTAAAGATATTGGTCAAAGAAGGGGATGTCGTTGACGCTGGAACCATTTTAGTTAAGATTGATTAACACACATGGTAGATACAGTAGATAATTATTTTTAAATATTATCTTGATTATTTATTTATTTATTTATTAAAGACAATATTTGTTGAACGTATTCTACGATCGTCGCAACTTCTGCCATCGCACCAACACCCGTATCCCCACATGCCAAATTTTTACTAATTGGTTCAATCACATCAAATTTCAACTTAACCTTTACAATTTCAAGGTGATCTGATGTGAATGGATGCTCCCACATATAAGTATTCATTGCTGGACAAACAATGACCGGTTTATTCGTATCCCACGCTCTTAATATACATGTCTAGATATAAAGAATATTTTTTAAAAAAAATAAAAGAAAAAAAAAAAAGGCTGGGGGAATCAATTATTAAATATATACAATCAAGTTGTCACATAATCCATTCGCAATTTTTCCCAGTGTATTTGCGTCAAGTGGTGCGATTATAAACAAGTCTGCCCAATTTCGATACTTTATAGAGGTAAATATCAAGAATTTTAAAAATTTAAATAATGATTTTTCCTATATAAAGAAAGGAACTCACCTCGATGTGTAATACAGGATCTGATACTTTACTCCATGCCTAAGCAATACAAATTTTCTTTAATAAAATAACATGATCATATTATTTTTAATTGATATCTTTAATATTAACCTTCCATTCGTCAACGTCGGTAACAACTTGTACACCAAATTCCCTTGTTAGAGCCTCCCTGTCGAAAAAATGTAATGCTCTATCTGTTGATACAACTTTGATTTCAACATTCTGTTTCTGAAGACAAAAATTCTCATTAAATAAAGAGGAAGAAAACAAAAGGTATTAATCGAAAAATAAGATAGGAACCTGTGATAAAGATTTTACGAGTATGGGGATTTTAATACTTGCTACACTACCAGTTGCCCCAATCAATACCTTAACCTTTCGTGACATAATAAAAAAAAATATTTTAGAAATTAACTTTTAGACGATCATCAATCTTGTACATTTTTAACTAACCAAATATATATTTTATAGTTTGATATGTGATAACGTATATGCTATATTTGGCTACTAATGTCGGGGTAGAGCATACTGTACCTACAAAATGTAAAAAATGATTATTTTTAAAAAAGGAAATAAGGAGTTAGTTTACCTTATCTATAAAAAAAGGGATATCTTCCCAAGGCGAAGTATTGTTCCAAAATCTAATGCAAGTCAGATCTATGGCATAGATTAAAACTCCCTGTATTTTTTTTATGCAGTGATAAAAATATAATTCTCTACAGGATGGCGTGCGTGCATTCAAAAAAAAAAGCCATGTACCTCATAATTTCAGTTATGCATTCTGTTGTAATTTATTATAAATTTTTTATTTCATTCATAAAAAAAAGTATATCAAAAAACAGGTATACGTTATGTTCTTTCTATATTACAACATATATATAAAATCTAAACCTAAATTTAACTAGCATTCGTTCTAATGTTACCCCCTAAATTTTACATTGGTGAATCACAATAAATCACAAATGATTCTGTAATAATAATAATACTTTGTTGTTGTATTGTGTTATATCACCAAAAATGAAGATATTTTGGATTGGGAAAAAAAAAAAAAAAAAATCTCGTAAAATTTGTCTTTCAAACTTGTTTCGATAAAAAAAAGACTTTGTACTTATTATTCGCTTGAATTTGAAAATAAAATTCAAAGGCCGATAGCAAACATTAAGAATACGGTAAAACGTAAGAACAAATGAAAAAATATATATATACAGTATATAAAAAGAAATGAAATGAAACAATTTCACATCACTTGATCTCATAAATGTAATTTATTAAATTAATTAATTACATGCGTAATTGAAACAAAAAAAAAATTTATATGAATGATAGTGGTATTTTACAATTGTTTGAAAATTTTGTGGTGACCGTTTTAAACCACTCTTTACAACCGAATTTTTCTTTACTATTTTTCTTATGAGAGATTTGAAACTATAGCATAGTCGGCTAAATTAAAGATTAAATTAGACGGACACGTAATTATGCAAATTATTGTACACAAAACTTATCGTTATATTTTATAAATGTCTAAACCTCAATTGGAGGAGAAAGGTTTAGTAATGAAAAAGTGTTTATTTATTTCTTTTATCAAAGAATCATGATTTTTGGCAAAATTCTATTATGTTGTAAATAATGCCTTTTTTTTTTCATATAAAATGAGAAAAAAAGTAAAATTCCAAAAATAGACGCGAAAAATTTCGTTGTAATAAGTATTTAACACATTTTTCACGACACCTCTATAAAACGATTTTTTTTCCCGTTCCCTAAATTATAATGATAGGAAAACCCGCCGGGAAAATCAAATATATACTATTATTCATATGGCAAAAATGATTTTTTCAGGGGGCAGATCATACTTTTATTTTTCCTTGGCAATTTATTCATCAATTTCCATTTCTATTTGTCAAAGGTCGAAACGCTAATCTTGACTTTTCTAAGATTGATTGATACTCTAGATTCCTCAATTTAATTTCATACTTTGTAAGGATTCGTTTCCAGTTCCGATCCTTTTAAAACATCAATAAAACGTTTAATGAATTTCTCATTAATTGGTTAACAATAATATATATATTTTTGGTTAGGTCACTGTTTGTATGATGAAAAGTAGCAAATGATTCTGGCTCACAAATCATTAGAAAAAAAAAAGTACACTTTTTTTTACTTTTTTTGACCATCGCGATTTAAAATTAAATTTTTATTAGCATATAGACTTCATTGATGAAAGTACTCCGGCCCGCCGCTCAGTTAAACAAATATTCGTTTGAAAATGGAAAGGTTCGAAAATCTTACCCAATCCACCCGCCGAAAAAAAATCAAGAGGAAAAAAAAAAAAAAAACAAGAATTAAAGAAATGTCCTACCTCCTTATCTTAGCGTTCTTATCCAACAAGTCAAAAGACGCTTTATATTATCCTAAAAAGTTTCTTATTCGCCTATTTCTCTTTGAAAGAACGACAATTTACAGACCTTGTTTGAATGAAGGAACAAAAGAATGTTTCAAGGAAATGCAGGATCGGTTTTGATAAAAATTAAATGAAATTATACCGCACTATTACTACAACGAAACGAGAAGTTAAAATTACTCATGAAATGACGACCCTTAGCAAAATTTTTCGCATTTGTTTAAAGAATGCAAATTTTTAAAAACAAAAAAAAATAAATAATATGAATTATCATTTGTTAATCACGTGGTATATGGTTCAATTTCAATTTTTTTTATTGATGTAATTTATAGACTTCAAAGGCGTTAATGACCTTAACGATATCTGCATATTTAAGTTGATGGTCAGGCTTAACAATTGAACTGAGCTTGTAGTCTACAATATTATCCGATTTATTCCATACTATTACGCCATCACAAGCTATGTATACAAGCGTAAAGTAAAGAGCTTTAATATCATCCTCAATAGTATATGATGTGTTTTTATTTGTGCCAGATGCTCTGTAACTTATAAGCGTAATAATAAAAGAATTTACATACATATTAGCGACATGAACTATACATATTTTCAGATCTTAAAGTACCTTTAAGGACGAGAAAAGTAGGGTTGCAGTCAAAGTTGTATTTGCAACTTCATAAATACTTGAGGCAACTCCCCAGTTAATGATTTTGGAATATGATTATATTTCCAAGGAAATGTCTCGGTGCAATATTTTCAAGTCATATGCAAATTTAATGATTTTGAAGAACCATAAGTATCGTCTTTAAACCATGATTTTCAGCTAACAAGATGTTCACCAAAGGTGGGTTACCATAAATCTATACAATTGATTAAATGCTATGAAATATATATATATATCATAAATTGTTTCACTCACAAAATTTGACATACTTTTCTCCATTTTTTTAAGTTCCATGTAAATTTCCAACAATCTTAGGTATAACTCACAATCAGAAAAGTTTTGAAGTATTCTAATTTCATGATCGGAATTTGAGGCTTTCAGAATGACTTATTCATTATTTATTTCCCTAGCAAGAACAAATGATATTCATTTATTGGATACATTGGATGTCCGTTGAAGAATGTACTGGCATGTGAAACCTTGAACTGTTTTTATCATATCCTTAAAATTACTGGGATGATGATAGTCCAACACATAGTTTGATACAGTTACCAAATTCACTAATATATGAAGTTCTACATCATCTTTAAAAGACAATTTGTTTGATTAAATAACCTCACCACTCTTGTTCCTCCGCATAATCTCAATAAGTAATATTCTGCAAATAATTTATTTTCTATCTAGTTGTTGATAATAATCTCTCTCACAATAAGTTCGACTTTATAAAGAAATTTTTACCTATAAATCTCTCAATAAGTTACCAATCTTATGATCTTTGAAGTAATTCTTGGTTAATGTATCCTTAATAAACCAAGGTTTATTTTGAATTTGCTCAAAAACAACATAAATCACTTTTGAACTTCAGTTTCCTCTTTATATGATTGGTAAAATTCATTAGATATAATCAAATCATCAAATTGTATTTTAGAGTCAAAATTTAACAAATCATAAAAATGTTAATTAATTTTTGCAATATTAATTATTAATTTTCCAACATCTTCAGGAATTGTGATAATACTTCTTATTTTCTTAATTTTGTTTTTGAGTATTAGAATCTTATTATCAAGCATAACAAAATTTGCAGAGTTCTTTATCTTTAACTAAAGATAATCCCTATAATTATTTTCAAATTTCAATTGAGTTACAATTTAATTGCATTATAAGAAAATTTAATTACTCTACAAATTGTAACTCAATTGTACCATTTTTTTTAATTATGATGTTCATCTTTATCTTCAGCTATTCTTTTTCCTTAAATTCTATTTTGATAGAAAAGTATAAGATAATTAAATAATAAAATATGATATAAACAGCAAAAAATCATCATCAATACCTGAGAGAATTACTTTGATTAGGTTATACTCATTAACATTAAATATCTCTATCAATTTGGAGAAATTTTTTTGGCAGTCTTTAAAAATTTTAATTTCAATATGATAATATATTGAATTTCAGATTATTTTTTAACAAAAATCTGCTTCTGATATTTAGAATACACAGGTTGAACACTGATCAATCGGGTACCTTTCCGATTAATCACTATTTTTTGATCAGCAATCAATACAGTCAGACCTCTATATACTGATATTCTATATATCAATATACTATTAAAAACTTTATATACTGATAAAATTTTATTTACCCACTATACTTGAGATCATATAAATATCGGTATAATTTGATATAACAATATTTTTAAAAAAATTTCTATATGTTCTAACATATCATTATATAGAGATTTGATTGTAGATAGAAATCAATAAATACTATAATTGGGTATGAATCAGTTAATATTATAATCATAATTATTAGGTAGAATTATATAAATCAGTTTTTAACCTGATTTTATACTTATTTTAAAAAATTTATAGCTATATGTTAAATAATAACAAATCAGATTCAATTAATAATTAGTTATCAATTAGTTTAATACCTGATTGATAATTATTATTCAATTAGAATTTACTGATTGGTAAAAATTTGCTAATAAGTCTCATTAATAAGATTTATTAACAATCTGTAATGAAATTTATTAATGATTCATTGATTCATTACGGATTTCATTAAACGAATATGACTAATAATTTATTTTGGTTTCATTAACAAATCTGTATAATAATTCATTACAGTTTTCATTAAATAAATTCTGTTTAACAATTTATTACAGATTTTGTTAAATAAATTACATTAAACAATTCGTTATATGAATTTCGTTTAAACGAATCATAATGAATCATAATAAAATTCATATAAACGAATCATAACGAATTTCGTTGAACAATTTTTACGAAATACATAATATAAAAACATGAAATTCGTATAATGATTCAT